TTGTAGCGGCTCCATGGAGATACACATCCTTTAAAAGCTACCTGTAGTCAGGCAGGCAAAAAGTCTGTAGTCTGTAGTCAGGCAGGCAAAAAGGAAATATGAGGAGCATATAGCAAAAAATGTAAAGACCAACAATAAAACTTCCTTCAAATACATTAGAAGCAGGAAACCAGCCAGGGAGGCAGTGGGGCCCTTGGATGACCAAGGGGTAAAAGGAGTACTGAAGGATGATAGGGAAATGGCTGAGAAGCTAAATGCATTTTTTGCCTCCGTCTTCACTGTGGAAGATGAGAGGTGCTTGCCCACTCCAGAGCCGCTGAGTTCGGGAGGGGTGTTGAAAGACCTGAGTCAGATTGAGGTGACGAGAGAGGAGGTCCTAAAACTGATAAACAACTTAAAAACTGATAAATCACCAGGCCCAGATGGCATACATCCAAGAGTTCTGAAAGAACTCAATTGTGAACTTGTGGATCTCCTGACAAAAATATGTAATCTCTCCTTAAAATCAGCCTCCATTCCTGAGGACTGGAAGGTAGCTAATGTCACTCCCATCTTTAAAAAGGGTTCCAGAGGAGATCCGGGAAATTACAGGCCAGTCAGTCTGACGTCGATACCGGGTAAATTGGTGGAAACCATTATTAAGGAAAGAATTAGTAGGCACATAGATGAACAAAACCTATTGAGGCAGACTCAACATGGGTTCTGTAAGGGAAGATCTTGTCTCACTAACCTGTTAATGTTCTTTGAGGGGGTGAACAAACATGTGGACAAGGGGGATCCAATAGATATTGTTTACCTTGACTTCCAGAAAGCTTTTGATAAAGTTCCTCATCAAAGGCTCCTAAGCAAGCTCAAAAATCATGGGATAAAAGGACAAGTCCTTTTATGGATCAAAAACTGGCTAATTAATAGAAAACAGAGAGTGAGTATAAATGGGCAGTTCTCCCAGTGGAGGGGTGTAAGCAGTGGGGTACCACAGGGATCAGTACTTGGTCCACTGCTTTTTAACTTGTTCATTAATGATTTGGAGTTGGGAGTAAGCAGTGAAGTGGCTAAATTTGCGGATGATACGAAGTTGTTCAGGGTGGTGAAAACCAGTGAGGATTGTGAGGCACTCCAAAGGGATCTGTCAAAGTTGGGCGAGTGGGCGTCAACATGGCAAATGGGGTTCAATGTGGCCAAGTGCAAGGTGATGCACATTGGAGCCAAAAATCCTAACTATAAATACACGTTGATGGGGTCTGAACTGGCAGAGACAGATCAAGAGAGAGATCTTGGAGTTGTAGTAGATAACTCACTGAAAATGTCGAGACAGTGTGTGACTGCAATAAAGAAGGCCAATGCTATGCTGGGGATTATTAGGAAGGGTATTGTAAACAGATCAGCCAATATCATAATGCCGCTATATAAATCAATGGTGCGACCTCATCTGGAATACTGTGTGCAATTCTGGTCACCACACCTTAAAAAGGATATTATAGCTTTGGAAAAAGTGCAGAAAAGAGCAACTCGAATGATAAAAGGGTTGGAACACTTTCCCTATGAGGAACGGTTAAGGCGCTTAGGGCTCTTTAGCTTGGAGAAACGACGACTGAGGGGTGACATGATTGAGGTTTATAAGATTATGCATGGGAAAGAGCAGGTAGAGAAAGAGGTACTTTTCTCCCTTTCTCACAATACAAGAACCCGTGGGCACTCCATGAAATTGCTGAGCGGTCGGGTTAGAACGGATAAAAGGAAGTACTTCTTCACCCAAAGAGTGATTAACACTTGGAATTCACTGCCACAGGAAGTGGTGGCAGCTACAAGCATGGACGGCTTCAAAAGGGAATTAGATAAGCATATGGAGCAGAGGTCCATCAGTGGCTATTAGCCACAAGGTATAGATAGGGACTCTGGGGCAAGTGATGCTCTGTCATCTTGGTGCTTGGGGGGGTCAACAGTGGGATGGCTTCTAATGTCCTGGCCCCACTTGTGGACCTCCTGATGGCACTGGTATTTCTGGCCACTGTGTGATACAGAGTGTTGGACTGGATGGGCCTTTGGCCTGATCCAACATTGGCATCTCTTATGTTCTTATGTACCCCCCTCGCATCCAAATATATGGTTTAACAGTAGAGTGCCCTGCTTCCCGCCACCTAGGTATCCTTTGCCATACCACATACTGAAACCCAGAACTGACAGCTATCTCCCACACGACTCACACTTTTCTTGTACCACAGAACTGGGTACACATCATTGTACATTCACACAGGTAGTTATGATTTGCTTGGGTTCTGTGTGTATAAAAAAAGCATGTTCAGATGCAATACTTCAGAAGACACAGCGAGTCTAAAATCAAATGTTCAGCTTTACTGACTACATGGGATAGGTAAAATGACAGAAACTTTGCAATTCATGACTAAACCATTCACCTTATCAGCAGCAGAAATACCCAGTTGGAACCAGCCCAGCAAATACAAGCTTGATGAAAGATGTTGTGTGAAATGTAACCAAGGAAGAGGGATGGGACAAAGGGAGGCTGGTAGGAAGTCTGGAGAGACCGAGTCACCTAAAGGATAGAAAAGGAGAAACAGAGACGGGACAGAGCTTTTTTGGGGGGGGGGGGGGTCACCTTTAAGAATGGAGAAAAGAACAGAAAACAAGCTGTAAAAATTAGACCCTTAGCCGGGGTGACTGGGAAAAATAGAAAGCAACAGGGGAAACAGAAGCTTTTGAGCAAAGTAATGCCAAAAACTTGGAAGGACCAGGGATCAATTGGCAGGAAGGAGAAAGGAAGAGAGGAAATGAGTGGCTGAGAGCACCTGGGGAGCTTAAGGCGGGGGAAGACAGAATGGGAAGAAAGCTAAGGAAAAAAGGGATCTTAGAGGGGGTAAATGCTTTGCTGGTCCCACTGCATAAGCAGTGTCTTTGGCTCAGGTCCTGTGGCAAGGTCCTGGAAACAGTCCTTGCAGAGAAAGTGACTTAGGGGTTGTGGATCTCCCTTTTAAACCTAAATTTCACAGGTTTTGTTCAAACTACATACCTGATTATATTTCAAGGTGCCACTTCATGCAATCGCATCCTCAATCTTAACCAGCATGAGCGGAGTCTTGCTTAAACAAGATAATTGCCCCACCTCCCTTCTCTGCCGCTGCCGCCGCCACCCCCTTGTACTCCAGTGGCATGGGGGGGGAATCTGAGGAACTAGCAAAAATTGGACTATACCTCCACAGATGTCATTCTGTCAGAGGAACTGCTCGTGGACCAACAGTACTACAGGCTCCAAAACACAGGTGCTTATTTCTAGCACTTAAGTTCTTGCTGTACATTTGGTATTGGCTTGTGTAGAGCATTTAAGCACTTGCTTTACTTTTATATCAGCTAATGTTAAAATCCAGTGAGCAGCTCTACGGTGAACATGGAAAGCAACTGAGAAGGCTGTTTCAGGGGAAAGAAGGATTATCTTCACACACACCAAGTTAGGGAACAAATGTCTTTGACCGATCAGGACACAGTCAGCAACATCAGAGAGCCTTTATGGTAGCACCTATTTCTTCTGTTTTCATCCACAAAGGAAGCAGCTCAGTCAACACAAAGTTTTCTGCAGCACTGAACACTAAATCACTGGAAGAGAACTAACAAAACTCAGAAATCACAGTTTATATTATACCAGAATTATGCTCCAATAACAAAATACATAATAAAATTTGAGGCAGGAAAATTTAAGTCCATTACTTTTTCAGATGTAGGTAATTCCATGACAGCCAAACCATTCTGAAGAGCAGAGGTCCACAAATGCCAAGTGTCCTTAATACATGCTGATGACTTCCACAATACTCCTTGTTAAAAGTCCAAGGAAGTTCCTCTTTCTCCAGGATTCTGATTCCTGCACAGACAGGATCATCCTCAAGCTATCATCATCACAGTTAACATTAACTTGACTCCTCCACACAGTTGTCTGCTGCCAAGAGTAAAACCCAGTTATTCTTTTGAAACAAAACCATTAATTTTGAAAAAGCCAAGCAAAATGAAATTGCTTGCTGCTCTGTTGCAGCAACCATTATGAAAACAGCAACAGTAGCATAATAGCTTTTGAACAAACTGAAAATCACAATACAGTATCACAGTCCTCCTTCTCAGGTCACACAGAAAAAGAGGGAGCTAAGAAAAGAGAGGCACAGATATCAGTGGTAAAGAACATGACAACACCCTGTCTGCATATTTTTAAAAATGTCAAATTATAGCTTATTTTTTTAAAGAAGAGCGGCCATTGCCTTTTTGTCCTAAAAAAGCTTTGTTACAACATGAATCTTTTGCAACTTAACTCAGCAGAGAAACTCCCACCACTTTAAGACCGTCACAAATCGTGAACACTACCTTCCTTGCCAGCAATAATCTTTTCTCTCCTTCCTCTCTTCCTTTTTTTGTTCACCATACAGCATGATGGAAAGCTCCATGGCACTTGAGAGCAAGACACCTTTGTGACATATAAGTTTATCCTAAAGCAGTCCCTACTCCTGCTGCTTACTCGGATTTTTTTCTCCTGGACAAATTATTGTCATTGCTGCAAGAGAGGCACTATCAACATAAGATGGGACTGACTCACACTATGATAATCTAAATATATAGCTTTTTTGAGGGGAAGCCCAAAAACTAAGCACTAATCTTGATTATTCTAGTACCTGTAGAGAGAAAAGTGGGCAAGCTTACAATGGAACTACAAGCAAAAACACGAAGCAAAGGCAAAACCAACCCCAAAAGAGCTATAGGCTGTTGTATAGCAAAATGTCAATGTTCCAATACAATGAATATGCTAAAGAGTGACTCCTGAAGTCATATTTCTCCAAAATACCTCTCACAATAACATCACAATTCTGCTAGTGTGTGACAGAAACAGAACTGTAACCTACAAACTGCTCACTGGAAGAGAGCCACAGCCTACCATAGCCCCAACTAAAAAAAGCCACAACCTACCAAAGCCCCAACAAAAAAAAAAAAAAAAAGGAAAAAGGTTGGGAGGGAGGAAAAAAGGAGCATCCACACAAATAAAAATACAATTCTTCATTGTATCCTTGACCAGTTTTTCTTCATATATTTCTATATAAAATTTAACACATGAAAAAATACTTGCCACTGTTCTTGCAAGGTAGAATTCGATGGACAGGCAACAAAACAAAGCTATCCTTCCATACAGTGACACAGATATTTTCAGTATTTCTTTCCCACCCACTGCAAACTCCACAAAACCCAACACACCAATGTGCATACAGGACTAGGATGTAAAGAAACAGTCTGGAAAAACTATCCTCCATCAAGGAATATAATTTCAGAATTATTTATGGTCCAGATAGGTATTCAAGAGTTTCTTCAGCTCAGCTATAAAAATATCACCTCCTGCCCTAGACAGTGTGCCCTCTTGCGTGAACAGCTGTTTATTTTCACTAGTAATGGATGGATGTGAAAAATAGTGCAAGCCATTTTCATTACAAAATTCTTCCATTTTGCAGTTGACATTATTACGTTCAGATTCCATAACTTGTGACTTCTCAGATGGCTTCCAAGTGTCTTTTGGTAACAGTGAAGACCAAATTATTACAACATCTTGAAATGCTTTTTTAAGGATAACTAAATCATTTTGCATCCTGGTAATAAGTGAATGGCTACTGTCGACCAACAAATCATTTTCCCCAAGGTGTATTACTATAATAGATGGGAAACGGTACTGATGATATAACTGATGCAGTTTGGGTAATAGATCATCCCACATCATTGTAGGGATACCTCGCCAAGTCACATATGCAACAGAATCCGAGAAGCCCAATTGCTTTGTTGCCTGGCTGGATTGCGACCTCCTCTCTGATAACGAAATCACATGATCGCCACATATCCAGATGTCCTTTCTGGTACAGCTCGAACTTCCAGTACCTAAAAGTAAAATGCCACATTATATTAACTACTTCAGTTTGCACTCCATGGAAGTTTAATAATGCTCCACGGAAATAGCTGAACTCGTAAATGATCAGAAATAGTGGAAGCAACCCAGCATGCCCATCACTGGACCAGTCCAGAAGTTCAGTGAGATCAAAATATGGAAGCCTTGAACAGCGTTTGACATACATAAATGCTTGAGAAAGAAGGGGAAACAAAGCAAGAGATGTTCAGGTGTGGTTTGCAGTTGCCTGCCTCCACAAAGCAACCCCGGATTTCCTTGGTTGTCTCACACCCAAGTACTAACCGGGGCCAATCCTGCTTAGCTTCTGAGATGGGGCTAAGCCTGGGCCATCCAGGCCAGGGCCCCCTTAATTAACTATTGCTAAAAAAATAAACAAATTATTTCTCAGAGCCCAGCAAAAGTCACCGCTGACAGGAGGATTTCTCACACTCAGTGCTACCTCAAATGCCTCCCTCCCCCAAATGCTGTTCCTGAGAGAGAGAGGCTGCCAGGTACAACATGGGGGCTGGCGGTCTTGCAGTGAGGGGAGAATCACTAAAAACCTACTACTGAGCCAGGGGCAGGAAAGTAGTTCACTGTGCACATTACTGACAGCCACAGAATAGTCCTCCTTCTCTGTATCATGTATGTGCACCCATGAAAGAGGAAAAAACTCTCTGCCCCAGGAGGACAGTCCGCAAGTCCCTCCTGCAAAGTGGCTACCTCCTTCTCAGCCTTTCCTATATGTGAAGCTGCGTCAGCTAGGGATGGTTCAGAGAGGGGGCTGCCACCTAAGGAAGTCTCTCAAAGCTGGGATACCCTTTTCAACAGCTGATCTGAAACACATGAAAAGGTAGACAGAACAAGGAAACTGGGAATGGAAACACAGAACCTATAGGATAAAAGCAGTTTTTAAAAAACTTACAAGGATTAGCTGGTCCTTATAACTTCCTTGCCAAGCAGGCTGAGCATTCTGAAGTACCCAGTTGATAGCTGGTAAAGGCCCCCTGCTTTTGTTTTAAGGGAAGGGACAGGTTTGTCTTTGACCAATGAGAGGGGCAGAAGGACATGCTCTCTCCCAAAAGTCTAGCCACTGGTTCACACAGTGGGCAATACCGCCCTCTCAGGGGTGCTGGAACTATCCAGGTGGGCTGGAATTATCCAGGTGCAGATCCACAAACTGCATCTTTTTGTCTACTTCTTGAATGTAGATGTCCAGGGGGGCGCAGAGTAATTTTCTTTCTGAAAAGGGGGCAGTAGGCCAAATAAGTTTGGGAACCTTTGCTAGACTAATGAACTGTTTCCCCAGAATAAGGAAGGGTTTTTTCCTCAACACCTTTGGGGTTGTGTGTATAGCGAGTACCAAGTACACAAGGGGTAGGTGGCTTGCAAACATCTACTAACACACAGTGCATACTAGAGAGAGGGAGGTTTCCCTGCAGTAGGCCATTAAGTGTGGATGTCTTCCCTGGAGGTGTGTTTGACAGTCTACTGGACTGCCATTTAAGTGTCAAATCCCTGAAACTGAAATATATGCAGTATTTAGCTAAACCTATTTTGCTACTTTAACAACATAAAATGCATCATTTTGAATACAGTTAGCATATAACTGACTTACAGCTGAACACCACATAGATATTTGCCCACATATTAAAAGTTTTTAAGCCTACTGAAGGGCTAGTCCCAGATAGTATACTGCATAGCAACATAGAGAATGTTCTGCTGATCTGCAAAATAGGATTCAAACACATAATGGTTGCTGGTAATCACTTCTGATGAAGTTTTCCATCACAACGAAGTTGAAGCCGGACTCTTCATAATTTGTTGATACTGTTGGACTGTAAACTGTTGGACTGTAAACTGTTGACACTGTGAACTGTTGGTTTGTAATATTGTATGTCTTATAAATGTATGTCCATTTGCACACTTGATGTGTTTACTATTCTAATACATATTTTTGCATATGACAGCGACTTTCCCAGTTTGTGTTTTTTGATCTGCACTCTGTGCTATCACATTTCATATATATATATTCATTCCACCACAGGAATTCTTTCAGTGCCAAAAAAAGATACGGGGGGAGTGTTTTTTCCCCACAAATTTTCTGGGCCTTCAAATCTCTGTTTCTACTGCTGGATCTCAAAAATTGAGGAGGAACACTTATTTATTTAATTTGATTTGTATATTGCCCTTCCTGCCGAGGCAAGCTCACTTTCAAATCCACCAATCACAAACCATAAGGCAGGGTTCAACAAATCCCAGTTACCACATAACCAAAGCATCTAGAAACTTCATTGTGGCACCTAGTATGTTCAGCAATTATTTTACTGTAGTGTTTTGGTGATCCTCATTAGAAGTATGAAACTTATTAATCATTTCACATCAGAATCAGATTTATGGTATAAAAATGAATATGCATGAAGTTCTTGCCCACTGCTTCCTTGTATGTTAATTTACCCCATTCAGTGGCAACCGATGAATTCATTTCTCAGCCTGTTCCTTTTTATACTAGCTCCAAAACACAATTAAATGGAATTTTAAAAAATAACAAAGTACTGAGGTTAGAATCAAAGGTTAGCCTTTTGTTGGGATCAAGACAACCAGGTCTACCCCATATTTATTTATATTTTATGCAACTTTAGTCATGGCTTTGAAAATTTTACAAAAAACCATGAAGAGTTTAGGATTATGCTTAAATTACAAAATATGACCATTAAAAAACAAGCCCCTGAAAACAACTCTAGCTCCAAAATTTTTGGACTGGCTCTAACTTCTAAAGAAAAATTGCCAAGGTCTGCCATAAGAGTCTTTAAAAAGTTAAAAACCAATACCAAGAACTTTGTCTGCAAGCAAGAAGGAAGTTAAGAAGAGCAGTAGTATTTCCTGTCACCAGTGTGGGGGAAACTCACCTCACACTTAACTTTGTTACAGTCATATTTTGGCAGATCACAGTCAGATTGCAATCTAGATTTTCTTCCTTTCCTGTTGACCATCCTTCAGGTCGTTCCCTGGCAGATTGGGGATTCAAGCCTGGGTCTCCCAGATCCTAATTTGACACTAGTCACCATATCCTGCTGATTCTTGTACCGCAGAGTGTTATTCCACTCACTTCATGATACTACAAAACTCATCCTGCACAAATGTTTTCCTGTGTTAATGGCTCCTCACTCCAGGTTGACAGAAAAATCTTTAAAGCAAAAAAAGCAAAGGAGATATAAAAGCAACCCCCATACAATTTCTGCTACCATTACAGTGTTTCCTAGCAACCCCTGTAAGTAACACTGTATTATGGGGAAAAGGCATCTCTGCAAATATTTTAAAATATATAAACACAAAACACAACCATCTCCTTGAGACTGAACCCTGAGCATAGTGGATCTTGCAATCCACAGCTTACCCTTCACTAGTGGTGTGACAGCCACATCAGATTTACCCTCCTCGTTCACCTTTCTTTTCTTCTTTCTTTCCTCTTTTCCTTCCTCCTTTTCTCCCAAAAGTGGAATCGAACTTGGGGTTCCTTGGCCCACCTTTCCATCGCAACTCTGCACCTCCAAGTCTGGCATGGCTTCCACAGCCGCCATTGCTGTTGGACCGAGCAAGCCGAGTCTACCAGCTGCTACAACTGCCTCCAAGGCTTTCAAAATGGATGGCTTGTTGGAGTCGTCATTCGAAACAGGCATCTTTTTTGCTGGAGCTCCACAAATAATGAGGTTTGTGTTCGTATTTTTCTTCTTCGGCATTGCTGGAAAAGAATTATTTTTACCACAGGTATGAGGAAAAACCCCACCTATACAACTGCAGCCACCGAAACGCACTCAAAATGACCTGGAGACTGAGCTCTGGAGTCTTTACTTTTCAGGTGACTGCTTTACTGCCCGTCCTGGAGCGCCCGGGAGCCCAAGATTAGAGCCGCTATAACGGCCTTTAACGTAGAAGGGCACTGTGACGACCTCTGCTCTGGGGAGGTCTAGTTTTACATTAAAATGTTCTTTATGTTTTGCTCTCAGGGTAATCTGGCTGCCACCAGGGAAATTTAGGCTTTCCCACCTCTTACTATAATATATTTCTATCACTGGGTTTTGGTATTTGTAAGTACTTAGGTCAACTGTATCACACTCTTTGTAACTTTGACTCTTTTTACTTCAACTTTTCATAACACAAGAAGGTCTCTCCTTCAGACCTCAGAATGAACTGCTCATCAACTGTCTTATTCAGCGCTAAGACATAGAACTTAACAACCCACACAGGGAAGCTTCTTCTTTTAACTGTTTCAACACAGAACTTCTGCTTCTCTCTCAGAAGTCAGAACTTAAAATCCTATCAACTGCTTTCACACAGCACTCTCTTCTGACTGACTAACTGTTTTACTGTTAAACCTTAACTGTCATTTCTCCAACAGTCACTCCTGATAGACATTCAAATCATTCACACCGCATCCATTCCAAACCCCCCCCTCTCTGTCACTCACCAATCATACCACTTGCCTGCTTCCAGCACTCTAGAATATCACAGCCATGCAAACTAAACTTTTAAAGACGCACACACAAACATGAAATCGTTACAGGCACCCTTCCAAGTCACACGCAACGGTCCCTCTGCTGCTAGGCAGAGGGCGAAACACCGCCCGCCCCCTTCCCCAGCTCCGACGTTTCTCCGGAGAGACTTGCTGCTGCAGCGGCTCTTACTCTGGGGGAAAGTGACTTCACGCGGTCTTCTTGAACTCCGGGACGTGTACCCCCTGCCGATCTCCCGCCAGCTGTTCTGAACTACTGGCCCACTCCGCAGTGGCCGGCCATCCCAATCGCCTCGCGCCCAGGTGTCGAGGAAAACACCAGAGAAACGATGAGCCGTCGCCCTTGAAATGTGTCTCACCGCGAATCTTCCGCTTCAAAGCGTAAGTGCCGCCAGCCAAACTTCAGGGAGGAAAAGAACCACCACCTTACTCCAAACCTAAACAGCCACCGTAGCAAACATATACCCTTCCGGGTCATATAGAGGAATACGCATGCGTAACAAAGAATAAGGTTCGTCTCATACGGCTCTCACATTATCCGGGCACTTCGAGGAATCATTGCAAGCACATGCGCAATAAAAACGCAGCGCTTTCTCTCGTCGGTGGACGTGCAGGAATGCTTTTAAAAACGTTGCTTAAAACTTTTATTCAAAAAGTATTCCAAAACTGCATTTGGAAAGGTAGATTTAAATGCAGTTCTTTGTTTTGGGGACAAGGAAAACAGTCTACACAGCCAAGATGCTGTAAAATTCACCTCCATGCTTGAAAGGAGATGGATGGGGTCTAAGGATACGATTCTCACAAATTAGGGCACATCAATCTCCAGTTCTAACATATTACCTATGTTGTGTGTCCCCCCCCCCAGTTGAACCGAAACAGAAGATAACGAGGAACTAAGTTGTCATTCTTTTAATCTGTTAAAAAAATGTGTCCTCACTATTTTGCATGCTAATTTAACAAACCATTCCTATATGATATGTAATTCTGACGAACTGTGCATGCACACAAAAGCTCACACCTTGAATAAAACCTTGTTAGTCTTAAACGTGTCATTGGACTTTTAACCTTGTTTTTAAAACCCAGTTAGAAAACAGTGCATGCACAATAAGATGTGTGTTTATTGGGGGGCAGTTTTTCCTTGAATGGGTGCTTGCTTAGTGGGAGTTGGAGTAAATAAAATAAGCACTTTGTGTGCCATGTTTTCCTCGTGTTTCACCCTTAACACATTAGATAGAAGAAGACTGCACAAAAATAGCCTAAGCAGGAGGTGCTGGACTGCAATCCTGGCTCAAATACTCTGTAGCAGGAGATGGTAGAATGGACCACACATTTTCAGGTTGCAGGAAGGGGGTGGATTTCAAGCCCTTGTTAGCCGCCCTGAGCCCATTGGGGAGGGCAGGGTATAAATGCGAAAAATAAATAAATAAAACTAACACTGCAGGTCTACAGCATATCTTTGGTTGCTCTGCTGGGTTTGTACTTGCAGGGAGTTTGGAGCTTGGGGGAAGTATCTAAAGCTGTGCCCCTCTATGATTCCCTGCCTGCTGTCTGAAGAGGAGCAGTTCATTCTGCTGCCTGTTTCGTTCGTGAGAGAGTCGGCCAGTCAGTGTCAAATAGAGAGGAACGCCGCCTGCTCCCCACAGAGATCATCAAGAAGGCTACGGTGCTATGAGGAATGATAAGGAGCACTGAAAAATATTAATGTTCATCATGTGGAACTGAAACTGTAGCACCTAAGAGCATGCTTTAAGTATCTGAGAGGTCCCAGGTTCAAATTTGCCCTACCCCCATCTGCAATAGGAGAATAATAATACTGACCTACCTTGTAGGACTGTTGTGAAGGTTATGTATGTGAAGTATTTGGAAGTGAGGGAGTGCCTGTCTTGGGAGAGACTAGCTCTGTTTAACAGTATGCCTTTTAAAATGGACTTTTTGTTTAAAAATATTTTCTGGCATACACCTTCAGTCACAGTAAACATCCTTATGCTGTGGCAGCAGCTGCTGCCAAAGCAATTTTTTTTAAAAATCTGCACAGCTAATCAGAGCTAGGGTTGCCAGGTCTGGGTGGAAAGATACCTGGAGACTTTGGGGGTGGAGCCAGGAGAGGGCAGGGTTTGGGGATGGGAGGGGCCTCAGCACAGTACAATGCCATAGAGTCCACCCTTCAAATCAGCCATTTTCTCCTGGGTAGCTGATTTCTGTCAGCTGGAGATCAGTTGTAAAAGCAGGAGATCCCCAGGCCCCACCTGGAGGCTGTCAACCCTAATCAGATCTCCAATGGCCAATCAGCAACCTTGTTGGGCAAAAGCCACACCCACCTTTTAAAACCACTTGGCAAGCAGAAAATAATCATAGAATCACAGAGCTGGAAGAGGCCATCTAGTCCAACTCCCTGCTCAGCGCTGCTTAAAGACTGCCAGTGAGGGGAAGCTCACCACCTCCCTAGGCAGCTGATTCTCTGTTGCACAACTCTTACTGTAAAAAGAGTACACTTTTCCTCCATGCAACTCTGCTTATCTTCGGTGCTTTGGGTCATTTTCACTCCTTTCCTTGACAATCGAGATGAATTGGACCTTGCCCTTGTCCCACAGGATGTACGGGTCGTGATCATGTAGCCACGGGCTGCCCAGCACCAGGGGGAATCGCACTGCCTGGGTGATGACAAACGGTCAGTGTTCCCAATGGCTTCCCATCCCAACCCGTAAAAGCACAGTGTCGTACTTGCAAGGTTCTTTCCTAGCAGACCCATCCATCTGGGTAAAAACAATGGGGTCCAGGAGTTTTACCACCTTGGCTCCCAGCCCCTTAACCAAGGAAGGGTTAAGTCCCATCCACACCCAGAGTCTATCAATCCCCGTACCCGGACATGAGTTCCGACTTCGGGGTTCATTATACTCACAGTTACAAAGAAGAGGGGGGGATAATTGCTCACCGTCTTAGGCACCTCGGGAGTAGGGACCTGCTGCTCTGTGCCGCTCACATCAGGTTCTGCCCTTTTCCTGCCGGCTCATCTTCTTCATCTTGTGAGTAGCTCCTCTGCTTGGACCCTCAGCTTGCAGAGCTCATTGGAACTTAGGCCGAGCCACACTCTTCTGTGCCGGGGTGTCCACCCGCTTTTTCTCTGGCTCCTTCCTGGGCACTGTCGGGGCTCCCCCTCCCGGGAAGGCAGCAGCAAAGTGACCCACTTCTACACATCTCAGGGACAAACTTTGCCTCATGTGCGGGTCCCGCAAGTCCTCTTTGCGTTTAGGGGTCTTGGGTTTGACCGTTGGCGGTCTGACTTTTTCCAGGGTGGCTGCGTTGTCTCAGATCCTCAGGCAATTCTCCGCATCAGCCGCTTCCCACATCCAGGCGTGGAGGGACACCAGTTGAACACTATGCAGGACTTTCTTGCGAATCTCAGGGTGCAGACCCAGCCGGTAATGCTCAGCCATCACGGCAGCCAGCCAGCCCTGGATTTTCGCGGCTTGCTTTTTAAACTCCTCGGTGTATTCACGCACCATCTTTTTACCTTGTTTAAAGGTACACAAGTAGGCACACGTGTGTTCACTGGCATTCGGATCCTCATACTGCGCATGGAGAGCCCACATGAATTCATCCACTTGCTCAAGTTCGGGACCCTCCGAATTATGAAGGCTCACATACCAGTTTGCTGCCCCATCCCGTAATCGCGAGGCGATATAGTCCACGCGACTCTCTTCGGTGGGGAACAGGTGGCCCCAGTTGTTGATGAACTTCTCTGCCCGCACCAGGAAGAATGGCAATTTCTCGGCTGTCCCATTGAAAGTGGCATCCAGTAGCTCAGTCGGCTTGTGTACCTCCGGCACATCCCGGGGTCGAGGCTCCGGTGCTTGGTCTCTGGGGGGATGGGGGGTGGGCAGAGCCAGTTGCTGCCCCGGAACCCCTGGTGCTGCCGGCACTCCCAGAGCGAGTTGCGCCAGCTGCCACCTTTGCTGGTGGCGGATTTTGTGTTGCACCACCTCGGCTACAATCTGTGGGATTTTCATTAGTGATTCCTCCACCTTTTTCATCATGTCACCATGGGACCTTTCCAGTAGTTCCAGTCGGAGGCCCACGAAATCCTTGTCTTCACCCGGCCCACAACGCACTAGCTCTTCCTCCTCTCGGAGCCATGGCCCTTGAGGCTGGTCGTAGCGGCTCCCTCGGTGCGGCCCTGGAGTAAGCATCCACATCTCCTGGGAGATCCCTTCAACTTGTCCCATTGCGGGCCACAGAGGGTAGTAGTCACACGTGGCCTCGTTCCCCCCACTGGCCCCAGTGGGAAGATGTCCGACTCATCACCCACATCCTGGGGTAGGGTGCTCGGTTGGGGGGGGGGGGGGAGGCTGTGGTCGTCAGCACAGTCCCCTCGGTTGTCACCGGGACAGTTTCTTCCTCGCCTTCGCTCATCTCAGTTAAGAGAGATATGGTTCAAGGGGAAGATGATTTCTGACAATCTGTCAGGGTTTGATAGTCAGATCACACCACACAGCGCTACATAAGAAGTATTCTGTTTATTGGTAGTTCATAACTATGACACGTGAATGTCTTTTGTCAGGAATGGCCCAAAGCAGCAAGGCACCCAGAGTTATACTAATTTCAAAACACCCCCCATTACAAGCAGAAGCCAATAAGCATTGTGTACATGCGCGGGAGAAAAGAGAGTGGGCAAAATAGGAACCGTTTGTTCCCAGCAGGTCAGGAGCAGCTGGAACCCCAAGGTCAGCAAAGCATCAGCAGATAACAACTCAGACAGGAGACATCGTTCGTGTACCAGGCTGGGGAGAGGAGGATCTCCCACACACACACACATTCCAGGGAAATGGCAGTGATAACTGACAATACCCAGCCAGTACCTTCCTGCCCTTAATTTAAACCCATTATTTCAAGTCCTATCCTGCCAACAGCTCCCTGCTCTTAAGTGACAGCCCTTCAAATACTTCAAGAGAGCAATCATGTCTCCCCTCAACCTCCTCTTCTCCAGACTAAACATTCCCAAGTCCCTCAGCCTTTCCTCATAGGGCTTGGTCTCCAGGCCCTCGATTATTCTCGTCACTCTTCTCTGCACGCGCTCCATTCTGTCCACATCCTTTTTGAAGTGAGGCCTCCAGAACTGCACACAATACTCCAGTTGCAGCATGACCAATGCAGTGTACAGCAGGACGATAACATCTTGTGATTTGGATGATATGCCTCTGTTGATACAGCCCAAGATTGTATTAGCCTTTTTTGTTACCACGTCATGCTGGCTGCTCATATTTAACTTTTGGTCCACCCTTACCCCAAGATCATGTTCACAAAGACTGCTGCTCAGAAGTGTATCCCCCACCCAGTATGCATGTCCTCATTTTTGTTACTCAGATGTAGAACTCGGCACTTATCCTTGTTAAATTGCATCTTGTTCACATCTGCCCACTTTTCCAGCGTGTTCAGATCT